CTATTCATCAGAAGTATCATGCACAGAAATCGTCATATCTTCGTCTGTACAGCTCTCCTCTTCCGTTTTAAGTTTCTTATTTGTTTTAAGGTGTATGTCTTTTATTTTTCTTTTCTTTGAACATTTCTTCATTCTGTCATGAGAATTTTCTTTCAAACTTTTGCTAGCAATGTCTGTTTTGAGGTTTATTTGTTTTAAATTGAATGGTCCATATTGTCTCAAATTAAAATAAGACCTGTTTTCTTGAGTATTTTTAATGTAAGCTAATACTGTTATAGACGTTTTAGACGGAATAAAATTTTCATTTAACATTTCTGTTTGCTTTAGCAAGTCCGCAGATTTCAGATTGAGACAGTCGCAAAAACCTGGTCTACTCTTTTCGCAGAAGCAACTTAAACAACGGTAGGAAATAGAGTTAGCTGAGTCAACATTGTTAATAATCTGATGTATTTTCATCGTGTTTGGTACTGGTACGAGTTCTACTGATTCGTTCAGCATGGCATCTTCAGGTATAAAGAAAAGCTGTATTTTGGTTTCAGACGCTTGTAAAAATTCATAAGCTGTTTTAGCGTCAGGAACATTTGAACCATAAGCGACAATTGTGTCTAATTTTCTTTTAATGGCTCCTCCTACACCATCAGCGGCTCCTTTACCGTGTGACGCTTCGTAAAAGTTCCACGTGGAAAGTGGAAATCCCAACTCTTTCGTCAGTTTTGCGAAATAATAAAAGTTTTTCTTCTGTCGGTATTATACAGTTGGGCCATCTGAATAAAAATGAATCCCGTCTACTTTGGGTATTTTCTCCTTGACCAACTTAAGCACAGGTAAGAGATGTGCCCAAATGGCATCTGGTCCGTGGTCTTTGTTTGGACTTAAACTTGCAAAAGATTGATGACCTTTTTCGGTATATAACACCCCAGTGTGGAGACTGATCTGTTGTCTGGACCCATCAAAATGCATGGCTTGTATTTCAGTGGCTAATTTGCAAGAATAGTTTTCCGAAAAATCGACGTGTACAACGACAGTACGGTCATCTAAATTTTCTATGCACTGCCGATATTTCCGAGACTTTCGGGAAAATAGTATTAATAAACTACGATTTGTAATAAGAAGGTAGACATGTATTTACTATAAAGTAATAAACAACGTAACTACATAATGTACAAATAAATATTTTATTATCTATTTCCTTCACATTGTAATTCCTGTCAGAAGAATCTCATTATAAAACTTTAGCACTCAGGCATGAATATTTGACGCGTAGAATTCATGATTCCCGTTGGCGGAAGTAAACAAAATTTCATCTTATTACATTTCATAATGACAAGATTATGACATTTAATCTAATTGAAATTATTTTCCTTACTTTACTATCTCGCCTCGTTTTTTTTTTTTTTTGGTGTATTCGATACAACACAACGACGATACGACACCTGATGGTAAGTGGATGCTGTGGCCCATACACATCAACGCATATCCTCAATCAAGAATCGTTAGAAGCGTTGTCACTTCTAACGACTAAGATGTAATGCCATGTTTACACTAAAAAGGGTCTTCGGTTCTCTACATTTACCATAGGAGACACAGCAGCATTAAGCTGCTGTTTTGTGAGAGTGTGGTACAAATCCGGTCGTGCCTACTCATTCGTGCTTGAATACTGTAAAATTTATGGTGCGTTTAGCTAAGCTACTATGGCTCTTTAAATAAAAAACCCCTCATCATCATTATAACCTATCGAAATTCACCGCTGAACACAAGTCTATAGACTGTCTCATAGGGAGGATATTTGCCACAGCTGCCACGCTTGGCACGGGGATTAACAACAACAGTTTATTTATTGAGTTGTTATTAGAAAGATGCTTCTGCCTCTCTCCTGTTTTATTTTTATCTATCACCTCTTACAACCCACTGGCTGGTATGGGGAAGTAGACTTTTTTTTACCTTCTGCGCGAATAAAGGAAGGGTAATGTGTTTATCAGCCTATATACGTATTTTTGTTCCATTTTTGGCGCTCTAGAGACCAAACGGGTGAGTTAATCTTGATGATTCTTACGTCAATTAATTTGTTTTAATCTTGTGAGTGTCCCTGATGAAATGGCAGTAATCAAAATTTTATATGGCGACAACCAGAAGCCATATTGTGAGAAAAAAAAATAACGTCAACGAACTATGTTAAGTGTATCATTGAATAGGTCTTTGAAAATCATCTTAAGGTTGCTCTAAACATTTTTCAGTATGTATTAATATTCATGATCTATAACGATTTACAGTTCGTAAAATCGTGCAATAGGTAAAAATTACGAAAAAAGTAATTATTCACTTTTCAGTGGACTATTTTCCGTCAGTCAGGTTTTTAATTACTAATTGTTTAAGCCATTATTAATTACCATTAATCGCACATTTATAACAACAATTACCTATAAAATCATTGTTCAATAATAAACCCGTTACAATAACATCAGTTACTCGCAATAACATAACAAGTGAACAGCAGTAAACAATTTAACCATTTACAATCAATGTTTCTTAATCTTAGCTAATTTGCAAGTAAAATGAACGCAAAATTACACCAATTGTTGACTAAGATCGCGTAAACATGTAATAAATTGTAATCAAGACTGGTTCCGGCGTAAATTATTAGCGGAAGCGGATAAGCTTGTATATATAGGCTGTTCATTAAAACGTGGGTTGATAAACGAAGGCCTGATTGGTCCAGTAATAGGTGAAACGAATGCTGATCATGAGGTCGCGGGTTCGGATCCCGGATCAGGCCAAAATCAGTTATTGGTCTTTTCTCTCAATTAATTCTTAGTAGCAGTAGCCGTGCTTGATGAAAACCGGCTGATGGCCTTGCCTCTGAAATCAATTTCCCTCTCTCCGACCGATCTAGGAGAGTGAAGGAATAGAGAGTACACCCATGCCTGCACGCACACTTGTGCACTATAATCTTGTACTGCGCTGGTTAGTCGTCGGTAAAATTGATTGCCGTGAACGAAATTCGGTCTGGAGTTCTTTCAGATTTTAGGTACTGTAACAATTTCTTTGTGTAATAATATAGCATTATATAAATTATGTTTTGATATGAAAGTGCTTTACATGCTTTCAATTGAGTACAAGTAACAAAAATAGGAAAAATGTAGCAACTGAAATTTTACTTTGAAATTAAATTTTTATCAAAATATAAGTAATTACAGATCAAATCAACAAAAACTTTTCAAGCACTAAAGATTTACCCACATTTAAATTGGACAAGTGGGTTGACAAATGAAAAACCGATATCTTCACTTTGCTAATAAATGCTGTTTAACATTCTACTTCTTATTACCATTTTACTTCTGTCTTCTTTGGCAGAAAGTATATCCGCTACCGGAAATAGCCCCTACCATATTAGGAAATAATCCCCCCCCCCCGTACTCGGGTGTATTTGCCTTAATCGTAACCCTTGGCAGGCGGATATATGATTGCAGTATCTACACGTCACCAGTTTTTTTTAAGTCAGGTGTAAACAACATTCTTATTCGACCACCTCACATAACCCATACGATTTATCTAGCATTTCTCACAGTTTCTTTTTCGTGGTAGAGCCACACTGCAGCTGTATAATAGTTGTAGCACGAATGGGTTGGCTCGACCGAGGCAGAAGCACGCCCTCACAGAACACCAGCGTAAAATATCAGCATAATGCTGCTATGTTTCGTATGATGAGTGTAGACAACCGGAGACCCATTTTGCTGGATCGAGGCATTCCATATTAGTCCTCAGGGGTGACAATCCATTTGCATTTTGATTCTTAATTGAGGATAAATGTGGATGTCTATGGGTCACAGCATCCACTTACGCTTTTTTGTGCTCGTTTATCACCCAATGTTATATAAAAACTTGCCCCTTCACATACTCATGGGACGAATTCATCCATCCATCCATTACAGCCTGCAAAAATCCAATGGTAAAAAAGGCCCCCCGGCTATAGATTTTCTCATAGGAGGATTCGGCCATAGTTGCCACGCTTAGCAAGTGGTTTGGCAATCGCAGTTTTTTATTGTTTTATGAGGAAGACGCTGCTGGCCATCAACTGACTTATTGACCTTGTCGCGGCGCTGTAATTGCACCACAAATGAAAACAAAACCTAAATCACGCTATGAAAGTTCCGAAGTATTGCGATAGGTACTACACGGAGTGTTGGCTGCTCCCGGAGCTAAATACCTTGACCGTCGGAGAGATCTCCCTACTTCCTTCCACAGCCAAACCCTCTATCGCCTCTTATGATATTCACGGGATGATATGGGGCAGTGGATATTCTTGTACCCCCACTACACGATCAACATTAAACCCATTTAAATAGGTCTTCATATCTGTTGTCGATACCGCTGTAAGCACATCACTTGCTTCGGTCTTCTATTCGCTGCTAACTGTGCGCTTTCATGCGAGGTGTCGAAAGTGCATTATTAGACGAGGCTGTCCCCTGTTACTATGTGAATGTCGTCAACTATCCACACAATGGCATAACACGTCTAGATACGTAACACTGTCGAGACAATGTATTGGACGAAAAATTAACTTAAAACAGTCGATTGAACAGAACAAGACTGCTGTTCTTTTTGTTGATGATTTAATTACTTCAGTTTTATGTTGATAATTAAGGTGTATTATAAGTAAAAAAATACAGGCTTTGTACGCTTTTAGTCCTAAACGGGTTATAGGGCAAGGAAATATCCGCTGCGCAGCCCCAATGCGTGTTGGCGAACTTCATATGTCTGCTAAATAATTTACTTCCTTATATTTTCGTGGACGTGGTAAATCAGCACGTAAATTTGCAATTCACAATTTCATTGGTGCTGGCTGGAACCGAACCCGGGTTGCTCGCGTACTGTGGAGTCCCTAAGCTACCATGGCTAAGGATATATTACAGTAACGCTTCTGTTCGGATGCATAAAATCAGAAAGACCGGAATACCTCTTTCAAAAATTAAAATGGATAAGAGCAGATGATTGTCGAAGCATCAGAACGGGTACACCAATTCTGGCAATCCCATATCACCGAACAGCCGCGTTTCGTGGCAGTTTTAGATACATGGCCACTAAATGTTTGAATAATTTACCACCACCCTTATGGTAATCTAAATCTGTAAACGGTTTTAAAGCTCAACTAAAAAAACACCTTTTAGTATTTAAAAAATCATAATTTCACGTGTAGTGGCAGGTTATTTCATAAGTACCATTTAACAAATATATACAAATAATTAATATGATTATATTTTATGTGCGAGTGTTGTATATGTATTTTTTAACACTTATGTTTATTCTTAAAAATGTACACGTTGATGGAATAGTTCTTTAATTTTTTTTAAATGGAATGTTAGCACCGATAACGACGCGGGCGCAATATCGAATAAATACTATTCAGGGCTCCGCTGAAAATCAGCGCTGCTGCAGTACGTGTGGTAGCATATGCTGAGACGGAATCCTTTTTGGCATCACATCACTCACTCTTGCTGAGA